GACATATCAATGAAGTGTTTGGGAAGGATGTGGCTGTTGAACTCACAGTATGTCAATGGTTTGAGAAGTTCTGTTCTGGTGATTTTAAAATGAGCAATGTGGGTGACCTGAGACCAAGGTGGATAATGATGAGCTGAAAGCTGCAGGAAGCAAAATCCAACTCAACTAATGTGTGAATTAGCAGCAAGGTTTGACATTGCTATTCCAACAATATTGGACCATTTGAAACAAATGGGCAAGATAAAGAAGCTGGGTAGATGGGTACCACATGAATTAAATGAGCAACAGAAGAGAAATCGTCTTAAAGTTTGCTTTTCTTTGCTGACATGACATAAAGGTGAACCATTTCTATACCATATTGTTACATGTGATGAAAAATGGATTCTTTTGACAATCACAGTGTTTGGTACAATGGTTGGATAAAGATGAAGTGCTGAAACACAGTCCAAAACCAAATGTCAAAAAAGCTAATGGTGTCTGTTTGGTGGTCCAGCACTGGTATTATCGACTACAGCTTCATGAAACCCTGTCAATCGATTACAGCGGATGTCTACTTCAACCAAGTGGATGAAATGACAAGGATGTTTGTGATTAAGCAGCCAAGATTGGTTAATAGAGGTAGGCCAATCTTCTTGCAAGACCACATGTCACAAAAAAACATCGCTGCTCAAACTGTCGAAGCTGGACTTGGAAACTCTCTGTCATCCACTGTATTCACCAGATCTTGACGCAACTGACTGCCCCTTCTTCCAGGCTCTGGATCACTTGTTGCAAGGAAAAATATTCAATTCCCAGCAAGCTGTCTGGAAAGCACCTTTAGCGATTTCATGGCCACTGGCTTTCCAGGCTTCTTCACTGCTGGCGTAAGGAAGCTACTGTTAAGATGGCAAAATTGTGTCGATGGTTTAGGTGCATGCTTTGATTAATTTTACTGCTTCTTGTTTGAGGTATAATAAACTTTTGATTTGAAATTGGACATTTCATATTTAATGATCTATATTTATAGACTTCTGCTTTTTGAAAGACATGTTAAAAGAATGAAAAGATAAGCCATAAACTGGGAAAACTTTATTTGTAAATCATAGTAAAAGACTTGTATAAAGAATATATAAAGAACACTCAGAATTCATAATAAGAAGATAAATGCAATTAAAAATAGACAAAGATTTGAACACATACTTCATCAAAGAAGTTATAGTAAATAAGCACATGCAAAGAAACTGAGCATCATTAGTGATTAGGGAAATACAAATACAAATTAAAACCACTACACATCTATTATTTAATAGAATGTCTAAAATTGAAAAACCCAACCATATCAAGTGTTGACAAGGATATAGAACTCGAACTCTCATACACTGCCGGAAGTGTACAGTGGTACAACCACTTTGGAAAACAGGTTGACAGTCTTTGAAAAAGGTAAATGCACACCAATCTCATAATCAAGCCATTTCACTCTTAGGAGAAATCAAAATTTAGGTTTATACAAAATCCTGTACACAGATGTTCATTGCAACTTTATTTATAATACTACAAAACTGGAAACAACCCAAATGCTATCAGTTGGTGAGTTGATAAACAAATTGTGGTACATCCGTATGACGGAATATTATTCAACAATAAAAATGAATGAGCTATTGATACATGCAACAACAATGGATAAATCTCGGAATAATTATGCTGAGTGAAAGAATCCAGACAAAATAAAATAGTATTCTCATACTGGGATAAATTTGTATTTTATTTATGTAAAATCCTAGAAAATGCAAACTAATATTTAGTGACAGAGATCAGGGATTTCCTGGGGGTGGGGGAAAGTGGATGTGGGTAGAGGTGAAAGAGAGGGATTAAAAAGGTCATGAGAAAACTTTTGAGGTGATGGATATGCTTATTATCTTGATTGTGGTGGTGATTTCACTATGCATACATATGTCAAAACTTGTCAAATTATGCACATTAAATATGTGCAGTTTATTATATGTTAATTATACCACAGTAAAACCATTAAAATATTCTATACCCTTCAAAATGAAAAGATGTTCTTTTAATCATCTCAGGTTAAAGATTATTGCAAGTATGTTTTGTCAGGGACTTTTGGCCCTTTTCTTAGATTGCTTTCCAGTGAATAGTTATTTTAGATAGGCTAAGGTAAAATCCATAGCTTAAAAAATGATAAACATGACTGTGAAAAGACTCAGAAAGAAAAATGTCAGTTTCTAGATAATCATATATAGCTGAATTGTTAAGATTAAATATGTAAGCACTTAAAACTCTAAGATCAAGATGTTATCAAATCCATCAATTTAATATGTAGATTTTTAAAATCTCAGTGCTAATAAAAGAAGACAGATTGATCTGTCTGTATACAGCAGTGCTCAATTAATCAAAGAAATACGTATGACAGAGTCATTATACAAAAAGTGATAGATTCCTCAGAATAACCCAGTTGTGGTTCATTCCATAGTGATACTAAAAACCATAGTGATAGAATATTCTCTTCCCAACCTCTGCAGTTACATTTATGAAAATTATTTGTATTGATGATTCTGCATTTGGCAAAATGCAGGTCTTATAGAAAGCAGGTTGGGGAAAAAAATGATAATGACATTAAAGTGAAAAAATATATTGTTAATAGAAAGCATCTGTTTTCAAAACACATTGATTGGAATAATTAGTATTTTAAAAATCCATTTTTTTGTATATGTGTGTTTGAATTTTTTTTTTTTTTCTGATCAAGAATCTTTGCAGCTTCAAATCATCTTCTTGGGCTCATCTTCTATAAGTCTTATACTATTCAGACCATAATTCTGGCCAGTTTTCCAATCAGACCTTGTTTTGGAATAAAAAGATGCATTTTTAATTTGCATATTTCCTTGTTTCATTTTTCTGAGACTTAGCAAAATGCCTGGTTGAAATTTTCATAGGCATGTTTATGTTTAAGAATATTCTGTTCATCATATGCTAAGAGGATAGAACATAAATATGTTTTTCCTCCCTCTACTTTGCCATCAGTGATCTCCATAGAGTAGGAGCCACCCCTGCCATGTTCTTTTTCTTTAAAGTGATGGTAGATTTTAAATTGGGGGCAAGAAAAGAAAAAAAAAAATGTTTCATTTCAAAATCTTAATTGGTGGTACAATCAGAGCTGGTAATGGGATTACCACGTCATTAAACAATCCATATTTTAGGGACCAGAGGCAGAGCACTAATCATTCTTTCACTTTTCTTTTTCTTCCAAAGTCTTCTAAATAGATTTAGATATCAGTTAATTTCCCTCTTACTAATTAGATTGAATCTCAATAAATTAGGATGGACCCACTATGATCCAGGAAGTTAAAAATGCAGAAGCAAACTTCTTGAGCACTTAGTTGTCAAACTAACATGGGCTTTAAGATAGATTGTAGTCAGAAAGATACATTGATATTTTGAAATATGGACTTTCTTTGACACTATTAGCCTTTTATATACAGTTGTCTATTCTGCAAACATTTATCAAGTTGTAGGGTCAAGTTATCTCTACTTGAGCTGATAAAAATCTATATAAATGGTGATGGATTATAAGATACAAAATGATTATGCCTTAAATTTAGAAATGTAGGAAAGTTACCTGAAGTCTTTAGGTATGTTTCTGAACAGACTTGAAACTTCCTCATCAATTTTTATTCTGTGCGTGTCCATAAAAAATGATAAAAGGCTCAGGCTGTGAAACCCTGAAAGCATTTGATTCTATAGTCATCTTAATCTGAGGGAGGATGATGAGGAGCAGCAGCATCTGAAACCTCAGAGTTGATACGAAGGTGACTTCCCTCTTTAAAATTGGTGAATGCAGATTTGTTTTCTTATGGTTCCATCAAAGGCTTCTTTTCCCTTTCTGAGTTTGTTGTGCATGTTAGTACCGTGAAGTTTAGTTTTAACTCTTGGTGCAGGTTTTTAAGACCAACTCAAAAAATTAATTACACTGGGAGATTTTTGACACAAGTATAGCAGGAATAATACTATGAATAAAGAGGGCAACATTGACCATAAGAACCTTTTTATTATGTGAAGTTACTTTTTTAAATTCAAATGCTTGAAAGGGCCCAGGAATGCATGTAGACAAGGAAGCTGAGAGGAAAGACCCCAAATCCACTGCCATGTTTCTACTTAAAATGAAGGACTACAATCCAGGGCAAAATGAATGGAACAGCAAACCTCAGATTCAGGATTAGATATGTACGTTGAAGACCTTTGTTTTCTGCATATTTAGCTATTGTTAATAGCCTTTGCCATGGCTCATCTTTAAAATCAAAACAAGGTGATCTTTTCTCCCTTCTCTTTTTAGAAGAAATGTCTTCTAGTCTTGTCCTAGGCAAATTTAATGTTTTGATGCTTTGAGCCTTGGACCTTCCCCTTCATGTTGATTTTTTTTGTTTCATGTATTAAACATCATCTTGACCTCTTGACAGGTGTCGGGGGACTATTCCTTTGTCCTTTTACTTCCTGGAACTAAAATAGCACACAGCTTTCTTCTTGCATGAACCTTTCCAGCTCCTGCCTTCTATCTCCTTCAGGTTTCTGGAATCAGTGGAGAAAAAAAAGGAAAAAACAATATCGAAGAACTATACATGTCACTTTACCTTGATTCTTTTATTCTAATCTGAAAAAGATTAGAATTGCTTTGGGGTTCTTTGTGCCAGCTAATTTCTGCCCTTCTTTAATTGATCTACTCAATTCGAGTATAAAGGTGTTGAAAAAAATTTTGCTTGAGGAAGTAAAAAATGGACTTTGGTTTTAGCCACCAAAGCTTTAGTCAGAGACTAACGGTCACCCTCCTCCCCTAGTACTTTAAGGCATGATTTAATAAAAGTATGCCATTTAAAAACAAAGTTATATTATGGTTTTTCTCTTGGTAGATGAAAGGAAGTACTGTTTGTACTGCTTTACGCAGGAAGTGTTGAGTACTAACTGAATTTAAGGGACCTAAATAGTTTATTTCAGTTCCATTCTTTACATGCAGTGTATTGTTAAAAAGAATTCTCTGCTAATGTGGTGCTGAGAGTTTAAGATAATATGATTTTGATACCACATCATTATTATCCATGGACACCGTGCTTTTAGAAAAATCAGTAGAATCTAGTCATCTGTCATTTAAAATATTGTTGAGATCCTCCTGTTTTAAAACATGTATAGTTATACTCTGCTTTAAGAAAACCCTATGGATAATAATACAGAATTATAAATTAGCAGGTTTTATTAAAAAATTTGTACCATTATGAAAGATTATCAGTTTTATAAAAGATTTCACTACAAATTTTCTTTAAATATTGAAGTCCCAATACCTTTTAAGTTATTTGATTTAGCTACATATTTTCCAGACCACTTTTAAGACATAAATTGATTCTAAGATTCTCTTTTGTAAGTATTAATCACACAGTATTCTGTTTTATGTTATTTCCTCATCCCATTTTACTTTAAAAAGCTTTTTTTCTTAAAATCTATTATTTTGTGTTTCAAAATCCCTGAAACCCACCATGCACAACTGTCATGTACAACTTTAAGTTGTCGTTAAATTTCTTTGGGAAGATTCTCTGTAGGCTGTTGTGAAATTAGAATCTTACGTACTCTTCTATTTGTCGTCTGGAACAAAATGTCTCTGAACGAGGAAAAGAGAGAAAAGAGAGGTATGAGATAATGAAATATAGTAGGTAAGAGCCAGGAATATTGTGAGATAAAGCTCCTATTCATTATTCTTCTTGTATCTTTATATCTTGTATCATGATGACTACCCCAGTCTCATCTTGGTTTATTAATTAGAGAAGCTAGAATGTTAACCAACTGGGAGTATGGCTATTAACATTTTTATATGTACTCTAGATTTTCAGTGTTTTGTCTCTTATTTTTCTTATGGCTCTTTTTTCAGGTATGCTAGGGCTGGGCTACCATCTTAAAGTGGAATCAGTGTGGACTGATAAAAATTCATGGCTTGTCAGATTATGCCCCAAAAGTATCAAGCACCATGGCTATACAGTGTGAGCCTTGTGGTAGAAAAGCCTCTCAGAGAAATATGTCTGCCTTGCATAGCATCCCTGGGAATCTTGTCCAGGGAGCTCAGTGGGGCAGGTCACCAGAGAAAGACGCAAGGGGCAAGTACAGGACAACCATGTGCATCGTTTGGCCCATGTGCTGACCATATGAAACCTTCTTTGGGACTGGAAAATGCCTGACATGGCTAACATAGAATATATCACTTTGCTGGTTCCTGGCACCAGCCTTGTTTTTAATGTGCAGTGGCTGCCATTGCACTGTTTGAACATCGCTGTGGCTTGCTGACCTAGGGAAGCCTCAAGCAAAAAAAGTTATCTACTGCAGTTTTAAATCAAATTTTAAAACAACAAAACATTTTAATATCTGTAGCTGGAAGGGAAAAGTTTGGAGCGATGCAACTGGCAGGCAGGAGTGTAGTGACTGAAGAAGAGATGATTCTTGGGCCAGTTTTGAACACAAAATGAACTAAACTAAAAGAAACCCAGGCAGACTGTCCTGTCTAGCTTCCCAGTAAAGTCAGAAGGGACAGTCCTGGCAGTAGTATGGATTTGTATGCTGGGATAGATATAAACAGCAAAACTCTCAGCCCTGTGGCTATAAAAAGAAATATTTTTTTTATGATGTGTTCGTTGTTTAAGAGCAGGCTGTGAGTTTTGTTTAACATTTAATTCCTATACAGTGCAAAAACCAGAATTCTATCTTCTTGTGTGCTTAAGCTCTTTCAGATGTTTTTATTGTGTAACATTTTCTCCAGATTCTTCTTTTAATGTATGTTTTTTTTTTTCTCACAATCTGTTAAAAGATCAGTTTGTGTGAATCTTGACACTGTGATGCTATTTCATGGTTTTAATTTGAATGTGAGCTGTTGCAGCTGGAAGCATATGATTAATGGCACAGACTTGTTTGTCACAAAAACAGATGATATTTTACATTTAGTCAAGATGCATTGAAAAATTGACTTATACTTCACTAGATGTAACTTCACATTTTAATTCACTTTTGACTTCTAATTTGAATTCATCTTAAACATGCAGATATATATATCTCATGATGTAACTGGTTATTGAAAGTATTTGAAAGTTGATTAGAAAAATTGCATATTAAATAAACATTGTGCATTAGTTAGGGTAGCCAGGTTTTTTTGTTGAAAAATTGTACAAAGTCAATGAGTCTGGGAGTCAGTATGCAAAAGATGGAGGGAATGGTTATAAAGTTTATAAGTTCATTCTTCTTGATTGCATATATATTTTTATATGCTTTTACAGTTTACCTGCATAATAAAGTGATGTTCCTGATCTCCCTTGCCTCCTGCCATCTGGGAGAGTTCTGCCCCCACGAGACATGGCAGTGTCTTACAGGTCCTCTGTTAACGCTCTGGAAGCGAGAGTGGGTTATAGGTGCCTCTAGCTTCAGTGCTCCAACCCATCCTTCTCAGAAGGACTGTCAGAAAAGTGTATGCATTCTCCTTCAGAAATGAGTCTTACAAGTTATTTGAGGCCTATTATGGCATTCTACCTTCCAGCAGTTTCATCTCATAAAATAATATGAAACCGTATATGTTAAATCAGGTGTTTCTTGCTCAAACCTGTTACACCAAGTAGGAATTTGCTGTTTTCAAATCCCCGACACGTGGCTGGGCTGAACAGTCCCAAATTGAGGGGTGAGGAAGTTAGTGGCTCAGAAAGCAGGTATGTATGCCATATTTGAAGAGTTTTAATTATTATAGTTCACTAAAATCCAAATTTCTGCTTCTTTGCTAAAATGATCCCAGTTCTGTGTTGTGGAGGCACACTAACAAATAATCTTCCTCAGACAGTAGTTCAGAAACATGAATTTTGCTGTCATATTCTCTGAAAGATCATTTTTCAATATAAATATTTTTCATATGTGGTCTCCAGGTCTATTACCATACTGGTTTCCTTCTTCTGGACAGCTTTTAAATTGTGGTGGTCCCTTGTAGAAATGTGTGTCTGGAAGCATGATGCTTTAGATGTGGTCTAACCAGCAACCCTCATCTCTCTTCTTTTAGGAGTTCTGTTTCTCTTAATGCCAACAATGTGAGCCTCAGTACCCCACTGGCTCGTGTTGGATTTGCTATCAAAACATCCAGCTGTTTCCAGTCAGGTCTTTCCCATTCTGTTCTTCAGTTGATTTTTTTTTTTTGTTCCGAGTACCAGACATTACTTATGTCTCTATTACATTTTATTATGTAATCACTGGCTCATTGTTCCAGCTTGTCAAGGACTTTTTGACTTTTTTGATTTTGTCATCTAATATATTAGCAA